GTTTAGATACACGTCCTGCCTAGTTAAAAGCCAAAACAATTGAATCTGGGTAAGTAATGGTTCTATTATTAATTATAAATATATATCATTACCTAAACGATATTGCAACTGTTATTCCTTCGATAATAACACAGCATGTTTCCAATTCTATAAGAATACCCCAATTTCCGATCCAAATTGTACACTTCCAGTCCGTTTCAGTGACTCAACCGCCAAAGGGAAAAAATCAACATGGCTGTACCCATAATTAAGTATCGACTTAAACAAAATAATACAGTTCCGAATGAAACATAGAGACTCAAAAATGGACAGAAATGGAAACTATAACAAAATACAAATATTAACCAAAATGTAGAACTGAAAGAATCGATAAGAACTTATTACAAATGTATACATGGAGGGATTTTCCCAAACAAAGCCTTCCAAAATGGATTCAACAATATAAAAACAACTTTTCACTTAACATATTTTCACAGTCTTGTTGTTATCACTCTGCGTGTAACAGTGTATCTTATCATTCGTAAGTTAACTTCGAAGTTAGATGAATGCAACTAGATCACAGGAGTGTGTGTGAATAAAATCCACAACTAGAGCATAAGTGTAAAAAAGTATTTTGTTACGGAAGAATATAATATAAAAATAAACATTGAAAAAACGATGCTTCAAGACAAATATAACAACCAGTGAAATGATAAAAAGTTAAAATATGATCATTATCAGTTTTGGTGCAGAAAAAATGGGTATGTGAATGGTTTGAACTAGGTATACTCTATGTTGTTAACATTTAGAAACGAGATGTAGACCGAATAAATGTGTATATGGAGTAAATCCATTGAATAACAACCCATATAACAGAGCAAAGCGAAAAATGGTTATTAGTTTGGATGCCTCGACAAAAGTGAACTGCAAGTTGTATATCCTGTAACTACGGTTGGATCTCAACCCAGTCAGATAATTAAAAAGGTAAATCGAATTCCTGATTTAATTACGACAGTAAATGATTACAGGAGTGCTTGAAAAAGGCTGTCAAGGTTGATTATCTGGAGGAACAGTTTTTAGCAGATTTAGAGTAGAACTTTATGATGAAGACTTCGATCAGATAGCTAAAGAATCCCTTATTACAGTTAACTAACAGAACGTTCATGGCAGTTTTCAGAGAGTCGTTAGCATGTAGTCAAACTTTAATGAAAAAAATGGAGAGTAAGTGAAGGTTTTGAGTAAACGTACTATTTGTCCTGCTTCTACTTATTGTCAAATGATAGACGTTGGACCTCAGCACTTACTCCTGAGAAATAATCCTGAAGAAATGTCGTAATTAGCATTCTTTTTGTTTTTTACACATTAATTGCCGAACGTGAAGCGCATGCACAATAATATTCCCTCTTGGTGTGCACTTTCAACAGCAGATTTGATGGACCATAATGCATGAATGTCCTAATTTCCTTCTATTCATCATCATTACTCTAAACCTATATTCTGTACAGACTCAAAGAATTCATGGATACTCGAAGTTCCATATCTCTTTTGTCCGTAGCACCTTTACAATCGGGAATGAAGAGGATCGAAGATATATTTGAATGGTAGCTAATGTGTTGAGAAGTATATAAGCTTTGCCAACACGTTGTTCTGGATAATGTATAACAGAGAGTACTCAATGGTGATCTGCTGTAGAAAATTGACAGTAGCCTTCAGCTAAGGTGTATCCAGTAAAATTGATATGATGTGCACCAACTTTGAGGTTTATGAAGAATTTATTTACTGCTACAGGGTGATTCCCTCTTCTTCTTCGCTGTAGGTTATTTAATTCCAGCTCTTTATGGACATTTCGAGCTCAACTACCGCATGAACTTATTCGGCCATAAGCAAACATAGATCACACTATATTTTACAAATTGCTGATTACTTGGGAGTCGAGAAGGTAAAAAAGATGTTTCCCAACTTCAATCATATGTGCGAACAGTATGAAATATCCCCCAGTAGACTAAGAGATGATCTAATACGCTAAATGACTAGTTTAGTGTTGTTATGCCTGAAATATTTCTTTCCTCTATAAATGATGTCAAAACATTATCAGAAAGCATGAAAGTAAGATAGATTAGCTAGCACCTAAAATACCGTTCATTTCGGAGTGGAGAATACTCGGGGACAAAGCTTTGAATCAGCCGTTCCCACTTAAAAAATCAAAGTGAGGTTAAATCCAAACGGTACCGAAATGTATATAGATCAAATTTTCTAATCATTTACACTGCAAACCTACGGATGATAAAAACTCCTTTACTCTAGTACTAGCTGACGGTGTAGAATCCTTTTTGAATGTTTTGTTTTTTGGAAAATCCCTCCATGTTTACATATTTTTGTTATGACATGACGGACCTTTTCTGTTGACATTTTTGGTATTTTATTTGATTCCAATTTGAGATTTTATCATTGTATATTGTTATTATTTCTATATTTTGTACTTATATTGAAGTTTTTGTGTTTGCTTCTGATCTGTATATATGTTGTTTAAATTTGATCTTTAATATGGCTACAGCCATATTTGGATTGATACAGTGGCCGCTGGACTTAACGTCACTTATCTATCGTTGTTTCTGATACTCTTCGGAGTAATTGTATCCTGGAAGGAGCATTAATTCCAGGTAATGCTTTGTATTTCCATGTTTTTATTAAATAAGACCGCTTTCTCCTAGAATTTTTGCCTTTTGTTTGGACCTGGGACTGGGAGAAACGAGTACAGGAGTGCACCTATTGGAACCCATTGGAACTGCCACCGTAGAAATCCATTTACAGACGGTTCGAAAAATATTCAATTAACTCCTGGGTTAGCGATAAAAAAGTAAAGCTCCTCAACCCAGGAACTTCATAAGAATATGAAGAGATCCGCCCCTTGTTCTTGAAACAGTGGATGGAAGCCATCAGACCACTGATATGTGACCTGCTGAGGTACTGATTAGAGTTATAGAAGCTTCCAGAAGAATGAAAACGGGAAAGGATAGGAAAGCCAACCAGCTGGAGACTTTTAGTGGTGACCGAGTCGAGACTGACTTAGGCCACCACTAAATACAAATTACTAGCCCGTCATTGAGAAGACAAATAAATCCAGGGTAAAGAATATATTTGCTGGTGATTTCATGGTGTCGCAAGAACACAGAAATTACATCGGGAAAGTGGGCGAAACAAAGAACAGCTGTAGTAAATCATGGCAGTAACACAAAGAGAAAGTTGCGCGTAAAAAGTATGATAAACAAAAATTACAGTTAAAGGATCACTAATACAATTGGTTGTAATAGTGAATGTTTCTATCAAGCCAATCACGTTCTCTTCATTAAAGTATTCCACTACATACTAATGAGGTTACTCCAAATACTGTCAAGAGTGACTGAAAGACTGTTAACTGATCAAACTATGGAATACATAGACACAAGCAAAGTCTTCCATAAATCTCTGGTTCTCGTAAATGTAAGTTCTTTGCTTTCAATCTTCTCATGGTATGGGACAGCTCGACAATCTACAGAAACCAAAAGATACCGGTCTACGTAATATTCCTTGAATTCATGAATGCGTTTGACAGAGAAACTCACATACTTCTCACTGAAAAAGATGAGAGGATGTATTTCACTGACCATCTTCATCTTTTTCTCCGAAGCTGTTAGAAGACAGGACGTTAGTTAGTTCCAACATCAGTAGTTTCACAGAGAGCCACCTTAGGTCCACTCCTCTTCCCGATCTTCATTATTGATCTAATAGATGAATAAGCTAGGCGGCATTAATTTGTGCAGATAATGAAAAATCTGGAGGTCCATAAGAAGCAAAGAGGATTACCTTCAACTTCAAAAGTATCTAACATTGATAGTAAATAATAGGCTACGACTAAAGCATTCTAAATTTCATATTATGAACATTCTGTCCAATGTGACATAAAGAACTCACAACCTCTAAGGAATTTGGTCCCCAAACGTCTCATTAGGACGCAATATTTGTCTAGTAAGTACGGAAATCTTGGGCATCGGCTTAAAATGCTTTAGAGATACAGACAAGGTAAATGTGACTGCTCACTTTGTGCGACAGCAAACTTATAGAACAACTGCTCAACTGCATCTGAAAATGCTTATAACGCACTCACGATCTCGACCTGAAGTTCGAAACGTTGCCGTGTCCTCTTTCTTCAAACGTTACGTAAGTTTCTTCGACCAAGTACAAAAATGAGAAACTGTGTGCTACGGCTAAAGAATAAATCCTGCAAGGACCGACTCCAAATGTGACTATCCCTGATGAGCTGTAAGGGAATAAGAGGCGGCTTAATAATGTATACAATATGCTAACTGCACAAAACCATCAGTTAAGGACTCTGAAGTACCTGGAGCTCAACAAGCTGGATTTGGTATGGGTAGATCATATACCAACCAGATCGCAACCTACCTACTTACTGACTAAATCACACCTCTCACCCCTCATAAAGCATAGGCTGCAGACCAGGATTCTCCAACGAACCCTGTTATTGACTCAACTTTCCAGATTTCCCATGTTGCATTCAACATTCTCACAAATCAGCAACTTATCCCCACCTAAGTTATTATCAGTTCTGTCATACCGTTTATTATTAAACTTATCTCGCCTAATATTATCCGAATTAAGATTACATCAACTCATTTAGTTAGTTCTAGAAACAATCTCTTAAAAGTACAATTTCCTCAGTCTCGTTTTCCACACTGAAGTCCATCAGTCTACTGCCTGATAATTTTATAACCTCCTTTATCCAGAATCCTTGATGCTTGAAACTAAAACAATCAGGTTACAAGCTATGAACACCCACTAATATAAACGAAACTGATAAGAATTATTCCAGTAGTGATTAGATTATCCCTGATCGAGCACCACTAGAGACCTGAAACCATACTCATACAACGAAAAACGAGTGCAAAAATATTAGTCCGTTAACATAAGCTCTGCTTAGAGATATTGGGTATATCGAATTAGACATCCGTGCTTCTATCAACATCACTGTTACTAAAATCTGACCCGCGATATTTCGACGTTGCGCTACTTCCCGCAAATGCTACGAAAATTTGTTTTCGAATCAAATAAGCTTCTTCAGAATGTAGATTTACTTTACAAAGTTAAACGTCGTTAAAAATAGGTCAAATGCGTTCGCACGCTCAAAGTTCATGAGTATTCGGCGATGGAATTGTTGAAAAAGTACAAAATAGAAGTTCCGAAGTCTGTAGTTGTTCAGAATATTGATGAAGTCAAGGCCGCTTGCAAAGAATTCGGTAGGTTAAATCAATGTACGAAGTCTTGTGTCCTTACTGTTTTTCAGTCAGTGAGTTTAATGCATCCCAGAATCATTCAATTTTGAGCAGCTAATCTAGATTTCGCTAATTAGCTGCAATGTTTAGAGACATTTAAATAATAACCGTACTGCTCCAATTTTTAAGTGTTGTAAAACCACATAGGCGACTCAACCACTTTATAGGCTGATTTATTATTTCCTGCAGACCCAGGCAAATTGTTTGAAGGAGTTATTGATCATTAAAAAAATGAAGGAACTAAAGACAAAGAAATGTAATGAAAAGCCTTTTAACTAGAGATGATATGTAACGTATGAAGCACGACCAATCACTCTACACCATCACATTGTATTTGATAAAAACACCCATCAAGTTAGACGAGAACTCAGCATCGTTTCATCAAGCCTTTTACTATAGGCTCGAGACATGCGAGTTTATTGATTAGGTCCGAAAGTAGCATTCAGATAACTGGAATGGTGATAATGGTGGTTGTTATGTGTTCTGTGGGCGCCGATAATTGATTACGAACTTATTACCACCAAACTCAGTGACCTCATCTGCCATAATTTAAAGATTGACCGCGTTAAATAGTAGGTGTTTCCATCTCATTCCTGAAACTTAAAAAAATTCTCAATTACACTCTACTCGTTTCAACTTGTTTTTGGTCAATCTTTTGCCTAAATATCATATTAACGTAGTCTGTTGGGTTAGTTCCTTAAGGTTTACTCAGTTTCTTAATCAAAATAAAAAGAGTTAAAGTGACTTTATTTCTGTTTGCTTTAAGGACGTTTGTATGTTTACTTTACTTAAATTTTTCAGTAATATTGTTCCACACTTCATCATTACAGCCTAGGATTCTTCTCAAAATAATATTATAGATAAAATAAAATTTTACTGGATTCTCGAACCTGTCGATTGTCTAAGTGTATCCCAGTAACCAGGTTCACATACATATACTTTGCACAGATTCAAGAAGGTAGGTTGGCTTTTGCTAACTTGCGTCACTTGTGCCATCGGTGACATGTCCAACTACCAACCAAAGAACTAGTTTATTACGTAGCAGTTTGTTAGGCTCTTCTCGGTGTTTGCAGTTTGATGAGAGATTGTGGATATTCGCAAGATACTAGTACTCTATCATAGACATCCTTAAAATATCGCTCGTGTTTTTTGAGACCACTAAGTGAGCATTGCTGAGGTTAGATGTAGGTTACTAGATAAGATGGCAATTTAATGAGGTAATAGATTGTCACCGACTGAGGTAGCTGGACTTTGGCGGCCTTGAAATCCCGAATGAGCCGTTAATGGATGTAGACTACCTGGTTGAAGTCCGCAAGATAGTCGGTAACTGAATGACATGGGTCAAGATTGTTCTCAATGGCGTAGATGTATTCACTCTTTCATTTGCCGCAGAACATAAGTCCCGAAACTTTCTAGCACTTTTTCTATTATTACCAATACTACTGTTACTTCAAACGCATCCCACCTGACTCTGAACATGATGAAGAGCGTAGTCAGCTTAGGCGCAGACTGATAAAAAGCCTACGTAACGACCGCAAACAGTGGTGAGTGGCGAAAGCAAAAGCGACGGAAAAGGCAGCGGCGATAGGCAACACTAGACAACTTTTCCGCCTTATCAAAGAAACCGGTATTAGGAACCCGAATGTGAGTGAGACTATCTCGGAAAAGGATGGTCTTATCATCCATTCTCAATCCAGGAGACTGGATCGATGGGCAGAACACTTTAGGGACCAGTTCAACTGGCCACGAGCCACACTTCGGTTGCCGACGATCCCCAGTCATCCTGAATGGCAAATCGATTTAAGCCCTCCCAGTCTACATGAAGTTGAGAAAGCTATAGGAAATCTAAAGTGAAGTAGAGCAGCAGGTCCTGATAGGCTTACCCCTGAGATGTTTAAGGATGGTGGTCCAGTTTTAACAGTTAGACTGACCGAGATCCTAGGTAGAATCTGGGAACTGGACGTAATCTCATCTGACTGGTCTCAGTCGCTAATTCTCCCAATCTACAAGAAAGGACAAAAGTCCTCTTGTGACAATCACTGGGGAATAAGTCTAACTAATATAGTTTCTAAGTTGTTAGCCTCGATTATACTTAGACGTCTAACTAGAGCTCGTGAAGAGCAGACTAGAGAAAACCAGTCTGGTTTTCGACCCGGACGTGGTTGTATAGACCACATCTTCACACTACGACAGGTCCTGGAACACAGACACACATTTAGGCGTCCTACAATCGTTGTGTTCTTGGACCTAAAAGCGGCATTTGACTAAGTGGATCGTGAGGTTCTGTGGCAGTGTCTGTCATTGAAAGGTGTACCTAAGAAGTACATTAACCTTATACAAGCTCTCTACTCGAACACTACTGGTCGAGTGAGAGCTTATGGCGAACTGTCAACGGAATTCTCTACATCAAGTGGTGTCCGTCAAGGATGTCCACTCTCTCCATTCTTGTTTAACTTTGTCGTAGAAATCCTCTAAGAGTTAACATTAAGCTCGTCAGATTTTCCAGGGGTTGACCTTCTACCAGGTGGCTCGCTTATTGACTTAGAATATGCCGATGACATAGTTCTATTCGGTGAAGACGCTGACAAGATGCAGAGTTTTCTGACTACCATAAGCAACAATGCGAGCATGTTCGGGATGCGGTTTTCCCCCTCGAAATGCAAAATGTTGCTTCAAGACTGGGTTGCATCGGCACCCGAACTGGTGATAGGGAGTGAAGTAGTCGAGCGTGTAGACCGCTTCACTTATCTTGGGAGTCTCATCAGTGCTGATGGCCTGGTGACTGACGAAATCTCACCTCGGATACAGAAGGCTCGATTGGCTTTTTCCAACCTGCGTCACTTATGGCGTAGGCGAGACATCCGTTCGCTGACTAAAGGACGAGTGTACTGCTCAGTAGTTCGCTCCGTCTTACTTTATGGCTGTGAAACATGGCCAGTGAGAGTAGAAGATATTCGTCAGTTTTTGGTTTTCGATCATAGGTGTCTTCGAAGCATTGCTAGTATATCGTGGGACACCCGAGTGAGCAACGCTGTTATTAGGAAACGGGTACTAGGTAAGAATGGCAGATCAATAAATGAAGTATTGAAACTTCATCAGTTGAGGTGGTTGGGACATGTGTTATGAATGCCTAACCACCGACTGCCGCGACGAGCTATGTTTCGCAGTGTAGGAGTAGACTGGAAGAAAGCTAGTGGCGGCCAAACCAAAACATGGCACAAATCCATGAAGTCACTGACAAGTGGACTGAGTCATGTTGGTAGATGTAGACTACCTGTTTGGGGTCCACGAGACGAAAGTCACCAATGGTTAGAGACCTTGAACGACATGGCTCAAAATCGTTTGCAATGGCGCAAGTGCATCTATTCTTTGAGCTCTCTCAAATCCTAATCTTTTGGATTCGTTAGCACCTCTCAGTCAGTCAGTCAAATGCAACGTAGAACTTTGTACATAAGTACATCAGTTCATGTTGCCATACCACATCAGCACAGAGAAGTAATCGTCAATTCAAATCCAATTGTATAAGAGGTAGTAAGGGAATTAGAAATAATCGGAGAGGTTAGGATTAGAAGATATTATTCAAGAAGTATGATTCGGTGAGATAAGTTTAGAGAGTCGAAACTAGAGGGGTTGAAGAATCCAGAAGATTAGGATTTGAGAGAACACAGAGAATAAATGCACCTGCGCCATTGCGAACGATTTTGAGCCATGTCATTCAAGGTCTCTAACCATCGATTATTATCATCTCGCGGACCCCAACCAGGTAGTCGACAATTACCGACATGGCTCAGTCCAATAGTCAATGACTTCATGGATTTCTGCCATGTTTTGGTTTGGCCGCCCCTAACTTT